ATCATCTTACTCTTTAGATGAGATATGGTGAAGCAGATAAAAAAAAAGCTCTTATATGTCTTAGGAATCTCAAACTAGGGATTGTAATCTAAAATTTTTGTAGATGTGTGTACGAAATTTGCACTTTCATACCTTCTAAATAGAGCAGAATGACAATATTGTGTTGAGCAATACTTCTACAATCGCAAAAGAATAACTGGACACAATATTTAGTAGGATCCTATATTTAAATGTCATCCATTCACATTCTACACATCATTATGTTTGCCTACTTGAATAGACTCTGCTCTGTTTCAGGTGAGGAATGTTATCAGCTTCAAAATGTGCTCAGACGTGTTGGCTTTAATGCTTTAACGCAGATTAAAAAGCGTTACTTCCGAATACTTCATTTCCCACTGTTGTGGCAAGAGATAGCAAGTACACTCACGTATTTCACAACCTATGGCCACAAATGAAGCTAAAACTTTCCCTATTAAGGTAATTTCCGATTATAAATACGGAACCACAATATTCACCACTGAATGCCATTTTTAATAACCGTTAATGGCTACAGGCAGGTAAAAAGCCAAACGAGTCAAAAACGCTGCGTGCAACAAGCTACTTACTATAAGGTTAGAATAGAAGCATACCTAATATTTAAGGTTTTAAATGACAAAAAATAAATAATAAAAAAAACCACTTATGCCTAGTTGATTTGAAGCCCACTTTTTTTCACAGAACGCAGTGAAAGCTTTGAAACGTTTAGCAGTTAAGCGTAAATTAAGTGCTTTTTAACGGCTATATATGCTGTCGACGATCAGAATTGCAGAATTTATGTACTTACACTCATAAAAAGCTGAGTATGCCAAAAAATTAGGATTTCCAGCTCCAGTTTAACCTGCACGTTCCATGAAATCTGTCCCTCGTCGATCATTCACACCTAACCGGTGGAAGAGTTCACCTCCGGGTTTGTCGTTGTACATCCAGCGTGATGACGTCATGACGCAAGAGGACTGTACCATTCTGCTTATGCGAGTCAGGACTGTACCAAACAACCGCATACGATGAAGAAATAGGTTGATTCCATTTAAATTAGTTCATGGTTGAGAGAATTTTTAAGTGAATCTGTTAAGCTGTCAAATTAAACTTAAAATATAATGTATGTAATTTAAATGTAAAATATAGTACAAACTTAATTCAATTCCTTGTCACCCAACTAAAGCAATTTAATTTTGATCAACTTTCTCTTAATTCAGTGTAGTTACAGCAGCTGCCCTTGGGTAACTATGCTGCTCAAAAAACATAAAGGGAACATTTCACTTTGATTTTGTGTGTGGCTCCAAATCCAGGCCTCCATTGGTTAATAAATTTGATTTCCATTGATTTTTGTGTGATTTTGTTGTCAGCACATTCAACTTTGTACAGAACAAAGTATTCAATGAGAATATTTCATTCATTCAGACCTAGGATGTGTTATTTGAGTGTTCCCTTTATTTTTTTGAGCAATGTATTTAACCCCCTTGACTTTGTTACAATTGTAAAAATGTAAGTATTAATGGTGAAACTAAAACTTTTACATAAAAATAATAAATTAATAAAATAAAGAAACATGATGCAGTGCAGTTCTTTGGTCAAACCAAATATTTTTTATTAGGAATTTAACAGAATAGGAAGTAAACAAAACACTTCCTGGAATAAATCCTTTTTAGTCTTCCTCCTCATCATCAGCTCCTCCAGCTCCACCCTGACCCTTCTTGGCGTTCTTTCTCTTGACGCGGCCGGGGCGTCCTCCGCCGTACGGGGACCTCAGAGAGAAGTCGATGTGCTTCTGGCTGTCCAAGCGAACCACAAAGGAGGGGATGTTCACTACCTGCTTGCGCACACTGCCAACACAGAAATAAAATGGAGGTCAGAGAACTTGGATAAATAGATAAACTTTCACATGCTCTGATTTCCAGTCTTTAATTACCATCACCATCAGGATTTATAAGTGCCACAATCTCAAATTTGTTCAGTATTTGTTTTTAAAGATTCAGCTATTCTGTTTAACTTTTATCTGAAGTTAATTAAAATTGAGTGACAGATTTTAGCTGCCATTATCCACATTTTACCAATTTATTTCCATTTTCTATTCATATTTTACGAGTCCATTAATTTTTTTTTTTACCTCTAACGTACATACCATAGTGTTAATCTAATTGATGTCTATTCAATAAACAGTTTATCAATGTTTTAGTTCATTATAAAAGACATGTCGAGTTATTAAAAAAAAAATTCAATTACACGTTTAAGGCACACACATTTAACCACGTATGCAATAAATTGTAGCACTTTTGGCCCAAATATTTAACAGATATGACTAACAATTTATACCACTGTAAATATAAACCAGGCTTCATTGACGAGGAATTCTTGACACCACAGAAAATCTGCTCATAAATCTTAAATCATCAGCCCGAGTGTTTGGTAGCTCACAACACAAGGCGCAGTGAGTACCATAATTGCCCGAGGTGCAATCCCCCCTACCTTACCTGACAGCCACCACGTCACCGTGGCACAGTCTGAGCCAACAGACGGCAGGATTGGCTCTGGGCAATGTCTACTGACAAGGTATACGGCTTTGATACCGAAGTGACCTTGTTGAAATGTTTAAGAGATCTCAACGCAGAGTGCTACAGGTTGGTGGTCCTCTGATGGAAGAGGAAGCAGCAAGTTTCTTATGAGTTCCTAAGCAGATTTTTAGACCCTCTTGTGTTTACTTGGAACTCTTCCAGAGGTCTGAAAACTCACCGAATGTGCCTCTGGCGGATCAGGACACGAGCGTGGTGGATACTCTTGGCAAGTCCGAGCTTGAAGACTTGAGTCTGCAGCCTCCTCTCCAAGAAATCCTCAACCTTGAGACCCAGGATGTAATCGAGCTTCATCTTACCCTCATCCAGCACACCGATCCTCACCAGACGCCTGAGCAAAGCATTACCTGGAAAACACACACAAAAAAGCGTGAATTTTAAAAGGAACATAGTATATGCCTCTGAGTTTCATACAGGAACAAGAATGGCCTCATTGACGAGGAATTCGTGACACCACAGTGAAGTCTGAAAATTTATAATTAAATCATCGGCCAACTTCAACTATGTTCAAGTTGTTCCCCTATACCTTCAAACAGACGTTTGGGGTCCTTCTCGTCCAGAGTGAGCAGCTCTCTGGCAGCTTTACGGATCTTAGCCAGGGTAAACTTGACCCTCCACACCTCACGCTTGTTCCTCAGACCATACTCGCCTGGAAAAAAAGATGGTCATTCAAGTAAACTAACTTAAAATAAATAAATAAATAAAGTCTGTTGTTGTAATTTAATGAAATCAAAGCATACCAATGAGTTTTAACTCCTGGTCGAGACGGGACTTCTCGAAGGGACGGCGAGGGGTGACATATGTCTTACGACAAACCCAACTTCTGGCAACGGGCATGGTGGCTTATAGCGCCTGCAAAATGAAAATAATGACATTACCCAAAACTCAATGTATGTGACAAAAAACATCTTAACTTTGTCAATGATGCCTGGCATCTTTGCCAAAAGCATGTCAATTATGGCCTTAATTTCATGTGAAAAAGCTGATTAATGACAACATTTAGTACTTAATCTAAACACATCCACTATAATGTTGCATTCAAAAAGAGCTGATTGGTGTTGGATAAAGGGATTTGTAAAAAAAAAAAAAAATTTAAATTGCCAAACACCAGGGGTGCATGATAAACACAACAAGAAAGTACTCTTAATGTGAATCAGTATACTTTTCCACACTTCTCAGCATAAATGTATTTGACACAAAAGAAACGGTAAAATACATTACATAAAATAAATGTAGTTTTTAATAATGTTTTTTACTTAGTAAATCCAGTTCTGCTGTACCCATGCAAATGAGCAAACCATTCAAATTGCAAATAAATTTAAACAATGAAATATAGATTCGTTAAGAAAATGGGGTTCTGGCATCAAGTATTTAAAAAAAATATTTAAGAATTACGGAGTTTTACAAAGTACACGTATTTAACGGCTTTAGCCTCAAAGCTAAAGACCTATTAGCTTTCCATATGTCCAGTACAACATAGGTAATTATGCGACAAAACATATAAATTTTAGGATACTAAATATACAAAAAATGTTGGGTTTAACTGGAAATAAAGGTAAAAAGTGCTGAAAATCTTGTCCATCCATACTACTAGGCCTTGGCCGCATCGCACCACGTTGTTTGACGAGACGAGCTAGCATTAGCTTCCACAATATAGCTAAATCCTCAAATTCGCTAAACATCAAATGTCAGAAATTTAAGATATTTATTTTGAATGTCTGTATTACGTATCAGCGACTGAGCATATCGTAGTTTGAAGTCAAAAATGATTGCCTGTTAAGCATGAAGTAGTGGGCCGTACCTGTCTCGCCCAGGCTCGCTTAGTAAAGAGGAAGAGAAGCAGAGTTCATGCTATTTTATACAGCGGACAAAGCACTACATGTCCCATCATGCCTCTCGCCCTTAAAACAGAAGATAACTTGATTTTGTGCTGCCCTCTATTGGCCAAATAGAGATATTTCAAAACAGATTAAACTTTTTTACGGATCTTACCGTTCTGTCGTTTCTTTTGTCATTTTTATTTTTCCAATCAGTCCTCCATGATAAAACGGAACCACACCTAAATGACTAAATCACAAAAGTTTGTTTCTGTTTTCATGTAACTATCTTTATCTCAAATTAAACTATGGCAATGTATTGTACAAATTCATGCTAGTAATGTTTCGTCTTACATTAAATGGTGTATAATTGTGAAGAAGGTAGGGTGATAAACTCAACCAGAAGGACATTGCTATTTTTATAACTCTGAAAGGGGACCCCCAGCATGTGTTTCTGTCTGTCATCCAGCATGATCAACTCATGAACACACAGAAGCACACTTGTTTTCTCTTTCAACGCTCCATACCCTCTCTTATCCTAACTAAGGAACTTTCTTTGTATTTTTTTAGTTACCTGTCAGGTGAAGTACAGTCCTAACCCAGTAGGATCTTGTGCTACTTCTGTTTGGGATTTTTCCTCTTTTTTTTTTTTTCTTTTTTTTTTACTCTGGTTTGGTTGCCTGATCTTCCTGTGCATACAAACCTTTTCCTTTTCCCTTGCTTTCCTTTCTCCTTTTCCCCTCCACCTCCCGGGCTATGCTCTCCTCACCCACTGTGATCCTCCAGCCTTACGGACTTCCCGTCTATCCACAGACAACCACATGCTACCCCAGCATAGTTCAGGTACGCTTGATTTGTTCTGCAATTTCACAGTGTCATTCAGACGTTTGTTGATCTTTGACCTAATGACTCAAACTAACTTTTGGTTAAGAGAACTGAAATAAGCAAAGCAATTAATAATGTTGTAGTAAGAATACTCTGAATGAGCTCCAGTAATGTTGGTCCATGAATGTGTTGGTCATTTGATTCAAAAACAAGTAATGAAAAACAAAAATATTAATTCTGTGATTTTAATCTTAAAATACAAAGTATTTAATTGAAATATAATCAGGTTTTTTTTAAGTGGAAATTGAAAACTAGTTTAATGTTGTTTTCATTTTTAAAACAATAAAAAGAAAATCACCAAAGAGAAATTAAAGCCTTTTTTTCGGACACCTAATACCGTCACACCGTCTGACTGTAGGAGGCGCTGTTTCTTCTGTAAATCCTGTAAATCTTTTTAACCACAAACACAAATATATGAGCAGTAACATTTGTAACATATACAAACATGTATAACCTTCTGATGAATCTAGATGAGGATAAGTAAAGGGAAAACATTTGCCTTATGAGAGTCTGTAGCCTAATCACACTCTTGCCGCGAGTGAAATGACGTCACGAGATGAAGTATTTGCTAGCTCATGTTGACTTATGACGATTTTCAGAGTGTAAGAAATTTGACTAAAAATAAAACAATCTTTGTCTCTTTCGTTGCCAATAATTTTGTTATGTAACCTCAAACTTGAACAGACAGATTAATTGATTTAATTTCGGAAGAGAGAGTCCAAATTTACACAAACTGGATTTCTGGCAGTGTTGACCACTAGGTAACAATTGCTGTTTTATCGTTTGAGCAAATTATTTTATATTCAAAGCAGTTGTTAGATGTTCGAAAAAAAGACAAACAAACAAAGAAACAAACAAACTCAAAGTTTAAAGTTTTTGTTTTATTCTGTCGGAGAAAGATTAGAAATTAATCCAGAGAATAAAGGAATAGCATTCTGCTGCATCTTTTTATATATATCTAGCTAAGGGGACGCTATATGTTATCTTTAGTCTTCTGGTCTGAGTGATATCAGCAGCAAGTGTCCCTGACATACCAGTAAAGCCACAATGCTTCTGGTATCTCTCTACCTTGTCACTGAGCTTCACACCAGCAGTATTTTTAGTCCTCTTTTCCTGAACCGACTGTTTTGTGTCATTTGCAGCCAGCAGCACTGAAGACAGTTGTAAAACCTGTGTTTTACATGTGTTCGGTTTAAAGGCAAGGATAAAATTTACATTTAAAGCGGGAGTAAATTTTCTAAAATTATCATTATTTTAAATATTTGTTAAAACTGTCACTATGTCCTGACAGTATAATATCAGACAAATAATCTGTGAAAAAATTTAAATGTTCTGCACTTACTTGGTTCTTGCGTACAAAAACATGATTGACAGCGCTAAGACCCTCCTCTTGGCTCTGATTGGTTGTTTCCGACTGGAAGCAGTGGATGTTCAAACTGTGATAGTTGGAACGTTTTTTTAAAGTTACCTACTGCAGCTTTAATTGATAATTTGATAAACATAAATGGGCAATTGCAGCAAAATACCTCAAAAGTAAGATGTTGTTCATGTAAAAGCCTAAAGAATGAAATGCTTGTTCTTAAAGTATCTTAGAGCAATTTCACCGTTAAAGGATTAGTTTAATGGCACCAGTTTGGACTGAACATCCACTGAGTCTCAAGTTGCAGCAGCTGCACTTTAAAGTCCACCGAGGGAGCACTGACACATGCCTCTCTTTGTCTTTTCCCTTCTCTCCATTTCCTTTGCCTCTCTCTTCCAGAGCCACATTTATAGCTTTTTAATCTAAAAACCAGAATGCACAACACAGATGGAGCAATAGGTATCCATTTTCCCCAAACAAGCTGTGTGTCACTGTAAGACTTGTTCTTGAGGGCCTCTGAAATGCCAACATCTGCAGTCTGAGTGGCCTTGTTGTGTAAATCCTTTGGCAGCTGCCACTGCGAGCACCTGGCTCCGAGCTGTCGGCCTCTGATTGCCCACTGACAGCTGAAGGAGGAGAGGAGAGAAAGAGCAAACAAATGGGGATTTTTTTAAAAAAAAAGGTCTGTGTGTTTGCATCTGTTGACTGAGACTGAGTCAGGCTGGGAGTTGGAAGGAGGAGGAGAGCGTGGCTGACAGTGACATTTAACAGACTCTTTCATCTTGCTTAATCTCTCTGTTTTATATCTGCAAAGAAGATATAAAACAGAGACAGAGACAGTTTTTAAAGATAAAAAGCTTAAATGCTTGTATAGTGGTGCGGGAAAATCTGCATTTAGATGTGTTAAGGAATTAGCTTAGCTCAATGGTAATAGCTATAAATTGAAATTCTGTCATAAAACCCTTAGAGATGATGCTGAAGAGTCAGCAACTACAAACATAAACATATTCACTGATCACATTCAGTGAAAAAAGTATTTGTGGCCTTATAGATTTCCTCTGATTTTGCTTTTTACACACGTGCATCTTTCACATAATTAAACGAATTTCAATGTAAGACAATAATAGGCTAAGTAATAAGGAAGTAGTGTGCAAAAACTAAGTAAAGTTGTGCTGTCAGTAGTTTGCATGCATCATGATCCTAAATCATTTTAGCTACAGGTGTAAACAACAATCTGCTGCTTCTCCTCACACATCTTAAAATGCTTTAATTTCAACATAAGAGTAAACAAATACTTCATAAGGCCTTAAATTTATCTTGGAGGTCAGTACTTGTAAAAAATAGTGAGATTTGCATCCTTTGACAAAGCTACCTACAATTTATCCAAGTTTCTAAATGAAAATTCAACAAAAACTCTCTAAAGGGAAATTTCTGACGAGAAAAATCTGAATCTGAGCTCAGTAACCAATATGGCTGCCATTCATTTAAAATGCACTGAAAGTTACAGGTATAAACTATTAAGATGAACCATCAGCAGTTTCTTTATTTTCAGCAACATTATGATCTATTTGTAAACAAAACAAGCTCAAACACAAAGAACAGATTAAGAACTACATAAACACAACAAAAAATTATTATTTTCTTACACTTTTAGAAAGTAAAATAGCCAATTCTTTTTAACTCTTACACACTTTAATTTTAAACTATTTAAAATATTTTAATTAAAGTGTAGAAACCATCAAATGAAATCAAATTTAACAGTAGTTTTATTCTCAAAGCAATATAAATATGCACTTATGGAATCCCCCGGATGTGTTAATGATGATCAGAGCATTTAGCACAGTGTGCTGCAGCTTCAGGAGGGATTTCAGGCCGGAGGTGACTGACAGATGCAGGTGACTGCAGCTGGTGAGGCTCTGATTGGATGTGATTGGTTGATGAGAGGCGCTCATGCTGTGGTGGGCGGCGATCTGCCGGCATTAAAACATGCAGCAGTTGTAAAATGCATCAGAGAGAGAACCATCAAAGCGGGGTAAGACAATTCTTCAACAACTGTAGGTTTTAGTTTGATTTCTTTATAAGTTTGAGACTGAAACATTATGACACTTTCATTGTTTCTGATTAGACTTGAATGTTTGTGTCATACACAAAAAAAAACCCTCAAATCAACGGGTTTTAGGTATTTTATGTGGAGGTGTAAAAAAAAGAGATGCCAGTGAAAAACAGGTTTTTAATTTTTTTTCACTAAAATTGTTCAATTTATTATGTGCATAATTTGTTGTTAGGTTTGTTACTGTTTTTAGTATATTTATAAATAGAACTTTATTTGAAAAAGCATTAACCATTTCCACAAATGATACTTTCATGCTAAAACTAAAACATAAAAATGTCATTTGTCATTTTAAAATTTTAAAATACAAAACACATTTTTAAAAGACTGGAATGAAACAAAAAACTAACAAAAAAGAAAAACAGGAAAATAAATGACAACCGAAAGACAAAATGAACTGAAGGTTTGCTCATCTAAATGGTCAAAATGCAGAATATTTTTCTTTGTGAAATGTACACTAATTGATTTTATGATGAATGTTTCTTTCAAACAAGTCTCAAAAACAATAAACAAACAAATCATTGTACATTGCAGACTAGTTCTTTATTTCTTTTTTATACATTGTTTTTAATAAAACAAGTTTGTAGCTTGTATTTTCTTTTTGTGGTAAAAGTTTCCTTTTAAGATTGTCTACACTGTTTCCACAACTTACTTATTTTGTTGCTGTATGAAGAGAACTGAATCTGGAGCAACGGCTCGTTATTTTAACATTATTACGTCTGTCTGTCATTATAACATATTTTCTCTGCTCTGTTTGAGTCACTGAACAGCTTGTTGCAGAAGAAGAGCATCAGGTTGTTTATTTGTTTACATCTTTGGGTGTTTTTGTGACCAGAGACTCATTCCTCTCCTCCTCTCTCCAGGGGGGCCCCGCCCAGGAGGCCGGGGCTGGCAGCGGAGACCCCACCCTCCCACAGGTTTATGCTCCGCCCCCTTCGTACCCTCCGCCGACTCAGGGCCCACCAACATCTGCCAGCAGGCTGCCCACTCTTGATTTCAGCTCGCACAGCTCCGACTACCCCGAACACCCCCAGCTCAGGGTCTATCAGGGCCCCCAGCTCGAAGGGGTCGACACTCTGACCCCCAGCAACACGGTAAGAGAGGTTTGTGATTAAAAACTGGAATCAAGTCCCAATAAAATCTGATCTCCAGTAATTCATTGTCCAATGTAGGTCCCAGCAGAGCTCTGAGATAAAGTTCCTCTCTATATTTAGAGGTCCGCCTCCTCTGCTATGTCCTTGTACGGAGCCCTTGGGGGACAGCTGACTGCGTGTTTGTTGTTGGAAATAAATACTTGCGTTTCCTCTGCGTCTTTTATAGCTGCTAGTAAAACAGGTCACATTTCAAGATTGCAGCATTTTCTGTTTTGTTTACTTTTTTATGTAAGCTTTGGAGAGCAATCTGCATGGCCGGATTTGGAAGGATGTGGGCCTCAGGGCTACACCAGTTTTGGTGCCCAAACCATTAAAGAAAAATTATTTTACTAATGCAAATTCCAGTACATTAATAGGTAATCATATGCATCAACAGGTATGAAATGATGCATGGTAGGTTTAATGTTGTTCCCAAAAATATTGACTATAACTACATAATAATTTTAGAATGAGTGAATATTGATTATATTCATAAAAATTCCAAAATATTACAAGTCACCCGATTTGTGTCTATGAGTTTTACATGAAGTAAAATGTCAGCAAAAACACACATTCATAAGATATAAATAAAAAAATCTGTTTAAAGTCTGACCCAGCCCATCTGATACAGAACTTTAAAAAGTCAACAACAAAGTCTAGCATCTGGAAAGAAACTTGTTTATAAAATTACTACTTTTTAATGTCCTGCAGTAAAACAAAAGGAAAGAAAATCTGATTTTCAAATCCTTTAAAAAATAAAGACTGTCCTGACTGATGAAGTGATCTAAGGGTATTTATTATAAATGAAAATGATGAAACGGGTTGAAAAGGCAGTGTTGCTGTCTTCCCTCACTGCAGTTCAGTCATGAAGACATGAGCTGTTTAGTTTGATTTGTGTGGCACTTCGGCTGTGTGTCCTGCTGCAGATGTCTCTTCGTCCTCTCATAAATGGTGTTTTTTTGTGGCCCCCGTCTATATATTTTATCGCTATAGAGCCCCTGACATTCTTGGGTCCGTGCTGAATTTCGGGGGAAAGTTGAGACGTCGCCTCGGAGGGAGGGGGTCAAAGTGGGGAAGGCTGACCAGATGAGAACCCCCCCTCTCTCTCCCCGCTCTGAAATATCACTCAGGTCCAGAACACAAATCTGCATCGTGACGTGACACCACCACCCGGCTCCCCCCGGCTCCCCTCCCGCCCCGGCCTGTGTGTGGGTGTGTGTTTGAGGGTGGATGTGATGCTGTCTGCTGCAGTTGGTCACAGAAAGCCATTACTGTGAGCCTGTGTTATGCCTCCCTGGGTGAATGTATCCCTGAACCTTTTCCCTGCCACCATCTTATTAATGATGCCCCTTGACGTTTTACATTTAACACTTGGCAGAAAAGCAGCACCATGACCTGAAACTGACCCCTCGGTTCTGATCCCCCCTTTCCCTTCTTCTCATCATCGTCCTCCTCATTTTAAGCTTCCTGCGCACCATCTTTGCCTTGTTCCCTCTGGTTTAATTCTGTCTTTCACTGTTGCACTGAGGCCTCTTCTCTCCTTACCTGCCTCTTGGTACTAGAATGCTAATTCTCAAATCCTTAAAGTGCAATTCCTTCTTGTATTTTCATGCTTTCTTTTCCTTCTTCTCTGCCCATCCTTTTGCAGCTATGTTTAAAACTTTTGTATTTTTAAGATCCTTCTTGGACTTTTATTTTCAATAGTTTTAACACTTTTCTTGCAATGATTGATGATCCTGCACCCAGTGCACATGAGCGCACCCTCCAGCATTGTGGTGCATTGTGAGACCATGAATGTTTTGGTTTTGGCACATTACTCTCTGAATTGTTCTGCATGAGGCAGTTTATACACACAGGCCACACAGCTCGGGTAGGAAGTGCAACTTGTGCAACAGAGGTGAGAACACTTTTGTGTTGCATCACTTGAAAATCAAATAATGAAGTTTTTTTTATTAGCTTTTAATAACTGATAACTTTTACTGTTAGTCAAAAATAAATAGTGCCTTGTTAAAGTGTTCACAAACTTTTCCACTTTGTCACATGTTGCTGCATAATTGTGAAGTGAAATGAAAAGAAAAAGATACATGGTTTTGAAGTTTTTTACAAATAAGACCAAAAAGTGTGGCAGGCATTTGTATTCAGCCATTTTACTCTAAAACCCCTAAATAAGATCCAGTGCAGTGAATTGTCTACAGTAGTGGACCTAAATAGTGTACGCTGTCTGACTGTGTTGAATTTAATCTGAGCCAGTAGGAGAACAAACCTAAAGCTACAAGTGAATGATCAAAGAACATTCATGTGTTAAAATGGCCTAGTCAAAGTCCACAACTACTACTGAAAGTCTGTGGCAATACTTTAATATCAGCATTCACAGATCCTTCCTGTAACCTGACGGACCTTGAGATGTTTCATTAAAAAACATGAACAACATTTTTAGTTTCTAGACTAGACAAAACTGGTAAAAACAGTAAATTATGTAATGTAAATTATTGACTCGGGGGATTTGAATACAAATTCCTGCCACATTTTTTCAAATTAAAATAAAATGTGTAGACAATATAACAAATAAAAGTAACAAACACATGTATGACTTTTGTTTTACTTCACAATTATTTAGTATTTATGTTGGTCTATTGTATAAAATCCTAGTAAAATAGATTAACGTTTCCATTTCTAACAAGACAAAACACTTTGGCAAGGCACTGTAAGTCAGAAGAACTACTGAATAGTACAAATACACAACTAGACAAAACAAATACAACTGCAGCTGACTTTATTTTTTCTAACTGCATGAACATTGCTTAAAAATTAACCACAGGAACATCCACTCGTTTTTAAAATATAGGCTTTACCTTTCTGTTTACATCATGGCTCACCAAGACAAAAGATGTATTTTATATTTTAAGAACGGCCGAAACTGAAAATGGTTTTAGTCGTTTAGTTGTCTCTCCAAGTCAGCCCCCACTAATCAGATCAACAAAGGAAGAAATTATTCAACTTTAAAAAAAATACAAATTTTTACATTTTTAGATTCAAAAGGTGATATTTGAGTCATGTTGCACATCTGTGTACTTACTTATGTTGTACAACTGCATACAGTCTGAGGTGAAGATTAGCTTTACCACTATAATCTGTGTTTTTAGATCATTAGTTGTCCTCCTGCAGGCATGTATTTCCAGACACTTTACTAGTAAATTCACACCCCTGCCTTACCTTTTGCCTGAGAGGCATCACTGGTTGCTGAATGCTTGCTAAACACGGTTTGGATCACTTGAGCTCATGAACATGATCTTTGCTGAATGTCATGTGATGCTGACATGATGTAATCTTTACACAGATTTTTTCTGAAAGCTCTCGCTGAACTCGCTGACCTGATCATCAGAAAGTCTTGATTTGCTTTTTCCAGTAACGCTGCTCTCTTTGTCTCCTTCCGTCTCATCTCATTCATGCCCTCTCCCCTCTTTTGTTTTGTATCTTCCTGTTTCTGTCTGTACCATCACGTCCCCTTTCGTCTCGTCCTTTCTGCTTTGCTTCTTCTCTGTCAGGAGGATGCTTTGGCCAGCGTGACCTCCGACCCCCAGGCTCTCGGTGTGTCTGTGTCGTCGGGGGCAGGAGCGGGAACCGGAACAGAGGAGGAAAGCTCGGGGAAGGCCCAACCAAAACGCCTGCATGTCTCCAACATCCCTTTCCGCTTCAGAGACCCTGACCTCCGCCAGATGTTTGGGGTATGACATTAACTCTTCCTTATCAATAGGTTGTCTCTAAAGTTGATCTATTATGCATCCTAGAACAAATTAAGATTTAATTTATGAAAGTCATTCTTAAATGTGATATTAGTCTGGTCAGTTCTGCTTAATTTGAGCTCTGTTCAGAATGAGCTGTTTTAGGCCTCCTGTCACTTTAAATGCAAATAAGCTGCTGCTGGAGCTTTGCTTGGGTTGCTAGGTGACGGGCTGGAGTTGCTAGGTAACGCTGCAATGTGATGCCACAGTTAGCTGGTTTTTGAAATGGCTCATTTTCCAGATACCAACAAACTTTAAATTGTTGCCAAAAAACATGTTTAAGCTCTTAGGCTGTTTTTAGAAGCAGTTGCGACCCGAATAGAGGTATAAAAATAAGCAAAATATGAATTATGCATAATAGGTCGCCTATTCTTTTATGCTTTTTAAAGTCTTTCTCTGGGTTTTGGATCACTATTTCACTTTATTATGAATTTTGCAGCAATTTGGCAAAATCCTCGATGTAGAAATCATCTTCAATGAAAGAGGGTCAAAGGTGAGCGACAACACAAAGCCACTTCATCACAGTTAAAACTTGAGTCAAAATAAATGTACATAACATCACGTGGATGTTGTCCAGGGTTTTGGATTTGTGACTTTTGAGAGTGCCACGGAGGCAGACCGAGCGAGAGAAAAGCTAAATGGGACGATCGTAGAAGGGAGGAAGATTGAGGTGTGGAGTTCTTACTATTTGTAGATTTACATATGATCACCCCATGAAATTAATTTTTATTGAGCTTACTGTTTTTGTCTGTGTTCTAAGGTCAATAATGCCACTGCAAGAGTAGTCACCAAGAAGCCTCAGACACCTCTTATGAATGGAGAAATATCAAGTAAGACACCTGAATGTACCCTTGTTTCATTGCTATTATAAATGTCTGAAGCTTTATTAATACTTAAGTTATCCATCAAAATCAATTCTGCCTTTTCATGGATTTAAATTGATTTGGAATAAAGTTAACATTCCCGTTAAATATCTTAGAAAGAATCAACAGGAGCTATTAGTTAGTACCATTAAGAATTACATTTATTATTAACCTAATATCTAATCATCAGTGAATATTTCCACAAAAATAAACCCTACAAACAAATATAAAGGTTATCAAACAAGGACATTGCTAATTGTACACTACTGTGACTGAAGGGAAATTTCATGACCAGGTAACAGACTTTCAAAATACTAACAAAGCTGATTAAAATCTAATATTTACCAGGAACTTATGATGTTATTGTCGTCCAAAACAAAATGATTATGTCAATTTCTCAGAAGCCTAAAGTAATGGGTTTTACATTTTAGATATGATATGATATCCTGGTCACCACCTGGACTAAGAGCTGCTTTGACTAGACCCACGCCATGCTACGCCATGATTAAGGGTTCAGTTTAAATGTATAGGTGGTTATCATTTTTTTTATTATTATTTCTTCTCAGCATCTGGTTGGAAGATCAACCCTGTAATGGGAGCAATGTACGCACCTGAGCTTTATACAGGTGGGCTGATTTATATCTATTAGTGGGAGAATTTATTGTACTTTGCACTGTGAAAGAAGTTTACTTTCTCTCAATTTCTGTTTGTAGTTGCCAGTTTTCCATACCCTGTAGCGACTCCTACCTTGGCGTACCGGGGATCAGCACTGCGAGGTCGGGGTCGTGCCGTGTACAACACGATTCGCTCTGCGGCCGGCACGCCTGCTGCTGTCCCCGCCTACCCGGGGTGAGACCCTGGGCTCAACAACTGGCGACACAGGACTCACAGCTGGCTAAACATACTGAAAACTAAATGATTAATATGTGACAAAAAAGTGTAAACGGGTCATAAACCGTCCCATAATCTTAAAAATAAAACACATTGGCGATAAACTGGTACTTCTCTTTAACTTCCTGTAGCAGCTAGCGACGCTGGCTTAGTGTGAACAAGAGCTAGTGGAGATTCAATTTCAGCTTATTTTATATAAAAAACAACTTTGTGAAAGTGCTAGCAACATTTTTAGGTTTTCTGCCTATACAGTCTCAGTAAGTTACTATATTTTCAGGTAGACCTCTAATCCCTATGCTAATATACACAAGTTTATCTATTTTTAGTTTTTTTTTTTTTTTTTTTTTTTGATGTTATAGTTTCCTAATTTTTCATTTGGAATTTTTAAACTCCCAAATCTTTCCCATTCTCAAAGACATTCCCAAATCTGAGTTTCAGCTTTCTGGCTGAAACTCAGATTGAATTGATGGGATCTATTTTTAAACACTTGTAGAATAAACCCATGAGTTTTTTCTTGTTTGTTTTTTGATACTTTCTTCTTTCAGTTCTTTCTGTGTGCTTAACATTAATTTAAACTTCACTTAAGTGTTAAATGACATGAATTCAAACAATTCCACCATCCTTTTAAAAAATAATATTACAATGCAAGTTTACAATCTTGATACAAATGGATAGAAACCAGCTGTACAAAAAACATTTGAGTCAACTTGTAAACATTACTTGAATCAAATAAAGTTTCATAATTATTGCTTCATAGTTTCACCAATACACATTTAATATAAAGCAAAGCCAAGTTTTACTTAACTTTTTCTTGTTTGAGTGTGTGTGTTTTTTTTTTTTTTTTCCAGGGTTGTATATCAGGATGGACTATATGGAGCAGAGGTTTATGTAAGGAGCCGTTTTAAAATTAACATTTTTAAAATGAGTTAATCTTGGTATGACACTGCATCAATGTTATTTTATTTCAGGGAGGTTATCCTACAGCGTACAGAGTGGCTCAGTCTGCATCTGCTGCTACCGCAGCCTACAGTGACGGGTAGGCCAACCTGTAATAAATGTGCATTTAATGACTCAAAATATGTAAAACTCCTCTTCCTTTTCTTTAAAATCTTTTTATTGTTTTTTTTTCCCCTGTGGAACACTATAACTCCAAATTAAAAATCAGAGAAACTACTTTTATTATTGCTGTCAGATATTTTAAACATTCAAATATTTCATCTGGAAACAAACAAATGTTCTTGAGAAAATCACTGTGGGCCTGTAAAGCATATGGTTCACATTTTCCTGTTGCCCTTGGGGTTTTCTCATTTGTGCAGCGTTCTAAAAACAGAAACACCAAATTATTTCAAGATTTTTCACTCAGAAAAGATTGCAAACGTTCCTCACCTTCTCAAGTAAATAAATCATTTTATTGTTCAGTAGAAAGCGAGGAAGGCATTTACGATACAGCAGTTTTTATAAGCGAAAACATCTGTTAAATCTCTCCCGTCAGTAAATTACTCTAACTAGAATAACTAGGTTTTACTTTGATTAAGAAATACAGTACTTTCGAGCTCGGGGATTTAGAGATAGTTTGAATTTAATTTACTATTTCATAATCATACATTTCTTAGTCTAATTCAAATATTGTTCTAATGAGATGTAACTGATGCTGGAAATTAAATAATTAAAAAAAAAACATTACTGAGAAAAAAGTGAGATATTCATCATTTGAATAAAGACTTCCAACTGCATGATCTGCATTCACCTAACTACAAAAGTATGGTGGAAAATATAAATATTTAATGTTCTAGTTACAAAGCGGACGACCTAATGTCGCTCGCTGAGGTACGCCAACATTAACATCAGCCATTGCAGAAAATTAACGGTGATATCCTGCCAATAAAAACCTCGATATTACTGGTATCAAAGGTTTCATCAGAAGTTTTTTCACTCATAGCCAATGTTTATCACTTTTAAAAATCAGAAACAAAGACTTTTGAGAAGCTCTGATCGTACCCAGAGGTCTGAGACCTGCTTCATGTCTTCCTCACCAGATACGGACGGGTTTACGCCGCAGCAGCCGACCCTTATCACCACTCAGTTGGACCAACAACCACATACGGAGTCGGGACGATGGTGAGTTCAGTCCAGAAGTGAGGAGCATCTGGTATTTACTGTCCGTCTGCTTACACCTTCCAACCCTGCTTCTGTCGACAGGCCAGCCTGTACCGAGGGGGATACAACCGCTTCACCCCCTACTGAGCCTCCCAGATGTTTGCATCTGTCACGAACTCTGGGACTGGGATAGGTCATGATATCTTAAAGCTTGGAAATGTCAGTTATCCTTCACAGAGACGATCCCAGAGTGGATCCCTTAGGACCCGTTTGTCTGCTGAAGAAGAAGATCTTATGTAATTTATTAGGCCTTTACCTGAGTTTGTTTGAGTGAACTGATTCTACAGAGACATTGGCTGGTGTTAAATGCTGTGAGACTAGTTGTGGTGTTTTAAAATCAAAACATTTCAGGGGTCAAAGTGTACAAAACATTTTGTACAGTGTTAAATGACTTATTTTTGATGGTGCCCTGTTTCTGAGCGTGTGTGTGTGAGTGTGGGAACGCACTTTGTTCAGCGACAGAGTGGACAGAGACGCAGCCCCGACGTCACGATCTGTATCAGGGCTGCTTGTCTGGATGCAGCTGGAGTCAAGTCTCTTCTCACCCTAACCATCTACCTCTCGATCATTTTTAGTTTCATATAGCTGTTGGGTTGAAGTATTTGGAAGATTTGTCTTTGTTTATTGTACACCTTTTCTGTCCATGTAGCCAAACTAATTCATTTGATTTTCCATTAACCTTTGTGGTTTTTAGTAGAACTAATATTCTGGGGATTTTCTCATCCTTTGCTGCAGCTCTTAATATTACTTCCTGTATTATTCTTTTTCTGCCTGTCTTTTCTTCCTGTTGCACTCTTTTTTTCTGCTATGTTTGATATTTACCTCTGAATAAACCCGACTTTCTTCTCTTTCCCTCCTACTCATTTTTTAGGTTGTTTTTCTCTCATTTTCCTACTTTGTTTCTGGGTTGTTTTTGTTTTATTTAAGTTTTTCTCTAGTATTATTTTTATGTGTCCTGACCAGCAGTCAGGACCAACAGATTTACTTTCACCAGCACAGCGTGAAAGCTTTCAGACAAGAAGTAAAATAAAGAGAGAAAGGGGGAGAAAAGAAGGGAGGAGAGGTGAGTAAAAAGTTAAAAAGGAAAGAGGAAGATAAAAATAGAGGGAAGGAGCAACATCAAAGTCCGCTTCTACACCTGCAGAAAAAGAGAAAATTATAAATAAATAAATTATAAAAGACAACATTATCATACATAACAAAAACATCAATGAAAAACACAGAGCTAATTGGTAGGATATATATACTGCTCAAAAAAAATAAAGGGAACATTTCACTTTAATTTTGTGTGTGGCTCCAAATCCAGGCCTCCATTGGTTAATAAATTTGATTTCCATTGATGATTTTTGTGTCATTTTCTTGTCAGCACATTCAACTTTGTACAGAACAAAGTATTCAATGAGAATATTTCATTCAGAAGATCTAGGATGTGTTATTTGAGTGTTCCCTTTATTTTTTTGAGCAGTGTATTTAGAAGCTATTGCAGTCGTAAAAATACAGATTTCAGACTGAAATAATTTTTAATATGAAACACAACCTGAGCAAATATAAAAGGAGTTTTAAAATTATGATTTAATTTGGTATTAAAGGGGGGGAGGAAGCAACATGACTAAGAAAAAGTAAATGGGCCTAATAAAGTGTTGAGTGACTCAATAACTGTTGCCAAATAAAAAAAAAAAAAGAAGTTTCTAGTATTTATTCAGACCATCATCATTTAAGTGACAGGAAAGACAAAAATCGAATAAATCCTTGTGTAAGAAAATGTTTTCACACTATGGTATGAAGTGGTTTTTAGTTTTTTTTCAATCATTTTAGCTGTTCCAACAGCAAATAAGGCAAATTTAATGTAATTCTACCATTTACCTGACCTGTGAAGATCTCCACACATTTTAATGCAGCTTGTTTGGTTTGCAGGAGTTATTACAGGTGCAAAGATTTAGTATGAAACCAAAATTGAACATGTTTTGTCTTCTACCCACTGAGAAATGAAGACTTTTTGTTTTAGTCTGTGGTACTTGAATAAAAGAGGAATGAATACGTTTCCACAAGAACAGGTGTTCAGTGTTTTGTAAGATTCGCCACCACAAAAAGATACTCAGTGTTTAATTTTGTTTCACTGTCATTTGCACAAAGCTTCAGAAACTGAAACAACCTTTGATGTTTTGTCTCTTCCTTGATTTTACTTTTTTTTTCTGAACTCTCCCTAATTAACTATTCTTATTCTCAAATTTACAGGATATGATAAATTTTTCCAGGGTCTGTTTTCTTTTATGAATTTCTTTCCTTTTTCTAAGCATAAAGCATCTTTTTCTTGATTTTTTTGAATTAATTTATTGTTTTTATTCATTTCTTCTTACACCCAACAGTAGAACATTAGAAGACCATTGCTGCTGACCTTTCCTTTCCCCTTTTCACTAAATTAAATTAATCTCTCTTCTGAATAACTCAGTTTTCTTTATCCTTGTAGATTTCTTTTAAGTCATTACTTGTTAAAAAATTAATCCATATTTCAATAAAAAACATGGACCAGATACCTTTAATTCTTTACTTTTATTTCAAAAATGATTTACACAATATATATATATATATATATACAAAACGGCAACGTTCTCAGATCTGTATAGGAGTGGGGAAATGGGGAGAGGGGCTTTGCAGATAATCCTCCAGCTTGTTAGTGCGCTGCAACATAAACTATCAAAGCACTGCAGATGTCATACAATACTTACTAGTCAGGGTGACAAGTTGCACAGCAAATGCTCACAAACAAATTCGACATAAAAAAAGGGAGAAGAATGACGAGAGACATACTGGTTAGACGTTCAGTGAGGAGAGAGTTTCATGCAGGGGTGAGAAAAAGAGTGAAAGGCGAGAGGAAGGAAATAAATCTAAACGGACCAGCTGGGAAGAAATGGAAGAAAATGAAAAACTAAGCAAGAGGGAGAAGAGATCTTTGTGTCAAGGATCAAGTAAGGAGTTCATGAAGGAATACAGTAACAAAAGAGCAAAAAAGAAAAAAAAATGAAAACATGAACATGACTGACTAGAAAAAAAATAAATGAAAATGTGTTCAGTTAGTCATCAAGGGATGGATTCTCTTTAGACTGAGCCTTAGATCTGCACAAGTGAAACCTGTGTAGAAACTTTACATCAAACGTTACAGATGAAAGTCGTTTCTTATCCTATGAGCACATTTCAGAAACCTAAACTTAGAAATCAACGTTCTGCATGTCCAGACACATTTAGATAAGGGATCTCAATTGGACTTCAAACTTAACTCTTTCAACCTTACAAAACAAAAAAGAAAAAAGGAAAATTAAACCAATAATTGTACACAGATTAAGCAAACAGAGCAAATGCACCTGGACAAACAGAAACCATCGGATCAGGATCATTCACAGGTCATCATCTTTAAAACCAAAACCCAACATCTTAAATATGTGGATTAGCAGCAAAGAACCACATCAGCAGCAGGGCATGTTTATACATTTCGATCGGAGAGGCTCCCTTGTTTTCAACCAGCTGCATGGCTGCTGTGTGGGCAGGTCAAATCAGGACTTGCTCACAGCTTCACTCTCTCCGGCAGCCTTCTGGAGGAGGTGCACCCACTTCCTCACTCCGTGTGCTCCTGCAATGCAGCAGCAGCAGCAGCGCTACGAGCTGAAGAACGAGAGGCGTGGCGGTGCGTGGGAACAGGAGGAGGGGGAGGGATGGGTAGAGGGGGGCAGAGGAGAGGGTGGATGAAGGGGGAAAGAAAAGACAAGTTGAAATCATTGTCAAAAATATCTGTAGTAACAACGATCAAATTACTGCGACCCATTCACTTGTTACTGATTTCCCACACATCTTGGAGCGTAGCATTTTGATTTCTTATCCACTGCAGTAAAAATCGCCACAACGTGCAGCACAACCACCAAACACCCCACACACTTCTGAAAGCAAGTTGCATAAATCATTTGTGAAAATAAAGGAACTCTCAAACTTACCCAGGAGTAAAACAACAAAACTGTTTAAATTAAAAAAAAAAAAAGAAAAATCCAAATATGACAATATTTACAATATTTTTCTTATCGAGCTTGTACAACAAGCCCGCATCTACCCCTGCTGCAGTACAAGTCTAATACACCGAGGTTAACGTCTGCTCTGATCAATCCATAATCAATAATACTGAGCGGAAGTTTCCCATGTAGGAGAGCAGGAGAGACGAGCTTCAGAATCATGTGACAAACAGCAAAAGACATCTGATGTTTGGTTCTGGGGTCCATTTACCACAATAATGAGACAAAGCTTTACCCAATTAGAACTTCAAAGTTCTCCATCACCAGAACTAACTACTGGCACTCTGGATGGTAAAAAAAAACACAAAATATATAAATATAAAGCTCCCTAAATATTGCTGAACATTTCATGACAAAGTGAAAAACATCCAATTAGACAGATCTTCCATTTACAGTTTAAGTTTTTAAACTTTTTAATTAGTTGAAACTTTTATTTTACAAATTTCATAGAAACAATGAGAGTTTGGCAAAAGTACTAATCTGCACTTGGTTCACTGAACTCTTAAATTACTGTCCACATCTGTTTAAAACTTATTTTGCAAACTACGTTATGCACTTCTCAGACAGTAGAGTGCACGTGTGCTGCAATTTTTTTTAATTTTTTTTTTGACATTACTAAATAATTGGAACCCTTATTGTGCAAAAAATCTATCTGTGAATTCTCCCTGAACCCTGACACATTTCATAATTCTTCTGCCATTCTATGAAAGAAAAGCCAATACTGCTGTCCAAAGAAGAAGAAAACAAAACCAAAGAGCGAAGACGCCTCGGCTGTGCCACCATCCAGCTCCTTCCAGAAGTTCTTCTTTCTTACCAGCGTTGCAGACACAGAGCAGCATACAAACCAGTCGGTTCTCCTTGGCGGACCCTGTCAGGATGCAGATTCTCCGTAGCGGCGTTTCTGTAGAACAACGGCTGCTAAAACGTCCCGATGGATGCAGAAAGGCCTCGTCGCTGAGGTCTGGCAGAACGGAGACGTGCTGGATTCCAGACGCCGGCAGGACCTTTTACCTGACGCCAAGGGAAGCAGAACCTCATCCAGTGGTCGATCGGATCCGCTTCTTAATCTTGATGAGCGCTCATGAGAAATAAAGTCAATGCTCCTCAAACTGGGACTTGGTTGCAGCGCTGCCGTGTTAGAACCCATCCGAGGAGAAGCTCAGGAGCAGCGATTCAGTCCTTTTCTTTCAGGTCGACGCCACAGGCGGACGGGACCCCGGACGGGAACATACAAACCACCAGCTCTTCTTCCTGAGAAAGAACCGCCATCTTCTCACAGTCTTTGCAAGCAACCAGCCGCACCGGGGCGGTTCTGCAGGCTCCAGAGGGCAGAGAACGACTTGACGGGGAGCCGTTTGAGACTTGGATCTTCGGGTCTTTAAGCTGTTGACTTGAGGAAGGAAAAACATAACAGAACACTGTTAGCACTAAAATCTGTGAGGGGAGAGGGAAAGGATCCATGAGGGTCCCTGATCTAGATGTGAATGCTTAGATGATCTAAACCCACGTATAAAACTGTCCCCTCTGTTGTTCAACCCGATTAGTGTGTTTGCTTCTTCTTTTATTATTAATCTGCTGTTTTCTAAGACAAGGTAATCTCTTGATTGGATGTGTAAAGAGTGAGTGTACTAGTGAGTATCTATATGGATACTACTGCCTGCTTCTACACTCTGAAGGGCTTTGCAAAGAAAGTAAGGATCTATGGTGATCCCTCTGTCTCCCTCAACAAGGTCACCCTACCACCTCCCTCTATCCCTCCCTCAAGAAGCAGCCAAGCAGGCTGTACTGGCTTTGCAGTCTATCTTTTTGGGGTCGGAGGGGGTGAATGAAACACCTAGCCCAGTTAAAAAGGCCATACAGGAGTCTAAACACGGAAAGCCCAGAGTTTTCTGCACATATTCAACAGGAAGGTCGGGTCTGAATCTGTGAACAGAGAAGGAGAGAGAGAGGAAGACATGTCAGCTAAACATGAAGCAACTCAAAGTGTGAAATACTTCGGCGAAGCCATATAAATATTATTAAAAAAAAAAAAAAAAAAAAAAGAAAAAACCCCTGGGGGGGCATTTTAAGGGTTTATTTTTTTAAATTCCCTTCTTTTT